CCTCTTTTCAAAGATAAGGCTGTAGACTGGGAGACTCCAGCAGCCCATATCCCAAAGAGAATTGCATTCATCCCAGCATTCACCCAGTTCCTGGAAATGAATATCATCATAGGATTGTCTTAGAAAAAGGGTTTATCCTGACATAGCAAGAGTCTTAGGAATTTGGCCAAAGGAAAGCTGATGGTGGAAAGCATCTGTGATGAGACTGGGTGTCAGGGCTGAGTCAGGGAAGGCTCATTTCAGGGGTGAGGTGGGGTGAGCAGGAGACACCCTCCAGTAAGGGCCTTGGTGTCCTTTGCCCATCACTGGCCAAGACATTACCTAAGGGTTTCCCTGATTGTGTCATGGTGTCTTCTTTGTCCCGCAGGGAGGAGAGCAGAAGGCAGGTGGGAAGGGAAGAGGGTTTGGGAGTGGGGGCAGGGGGGTAAGCACCTCCTATGTTTCACATTTTCCCAAGTGCACATAGCTTAGTAAGAGATAATGCCCACAGGAGGCACTCTGGGAGCACAGAACCCAAAGGCCATTGACTGAGGAATGGATAGAGGCTGCACAGAGAAGGGGATGTTGCTGCTGAATCTTATAGATTACAGGCTTTTCAGAGACTCCCTGTATCTAGGGAACCCCAGGGAGTGGACCCCACTGGCAAGCAGGGCCTCGTATGCAACATGCACTTGGCAAGTGAATGAATGAATGTTCTCTTGAGGATGTCAATTTTCAAGGATGCTGGGATTTAGACCGAGATCTCTAATGCTTCTCCCCTCGGCTCACAATTAGGCAGAAATTCCATGCAGAGTCACTGTTGTTATCTTGTACAGGGTGGTGTCTCTCAGCACCCCAACATCCTGACTGCATGAGAAGCTTCTTAAGAAGAAATGCTTTCCACAAGTTCTGCTCCAAGCTCTCCTATTACCAGGAGAAGGGCTTAGAGCTTTCTGCAGAGGAACTCAAAGCCACTTTTTCCATAATCAACTACATGCATTAAAGGGAGTGATTTTTTTTTTATTCTCCCCAAGCCAGATTCCATTAATGAAGCCCCATTTAACGGAAGTCAATTTACCAAAAAGAAAAAAAAAGTGAGTGTAATTGCTTAAATACATTTTATGTTGTACTGCAATAGCAATTTCCTGTGTTAACTTGGAATTCCCCAGGCCCCCCATAGTGAAGTTAATGTGGACAGAAAGGTTTGAAGGGGAGAATCTCTCTCTGTTTTTCTCTCCTTTAATTATGATTCTAAGATGGAGCAAAATTAAAGAGGATCCCGGGGGGGTGGGGGGGAGGAAAGAGGGGGAGAATAGGAGCAGAATGGAATTCAGCCTAAACTGTTCCACTGGTTTCCTTCATGTTGCGTGTGTGCTGGTGTAATGCGGTGGCTGAGTTCACAGGGTCTAAATGGAATGGCTTGTGTTTGAATCCCACTTCCAGCACTTAATAGCTGTGTGACTCTGAGCAAGTTTCTCTGCCTCTCTGTGCAGCGAGGTGGTACAATGGGAAAGGGCTCATAAAGAGCATCAGGTGCAAAGGCAGAGAAGCACAGAAAACTGGCTATACCCGGAAACTCTTCTGTTTGACTGGAGATCAGTGTGTGTGTGTGTGTGTGTGTGTGTGTGTGTGTATACTCAAGGTAAAAAGGTTTCACTAAGAAGGTGACATTTGATCTAAGCTTTGGAAAAAGTGAGGGGCTGAGCCAGGTGGAGGTCTGGGATAAGAGCTAGCACAACAGGCAGAGGGAATGGCAAGTGCAAAGGCCCTGAGGCAGCAGCAGCCCTGGCCAGCCATGAACAGCAAGGAAACCCATGTGGCTGGAGCATAGAGAATGAAGAGGTGAGAAGAGGAGGCAGGAGAGGTGAAGGCACCCCAGCTTTTTTAAGGCCAGGTATGCCATAGTAAGGTCTGTTACTCCAAGAATTTGAGCCATCGAATGTTTCTTTTGTTTCGTTTTCGATTAACTCTATTAAGGAGTAATTTATATAAAATAAAATTACCTATTTTAAACGTACAGCTCTTTGGAGCTTTGACAAATGTGTACATCCCATATAATCAACATCTCTTTCAAGTTACAGAACTTTTCCATCACCCCAAAGGTTCTCTTGCACTGTTTCCCAGCCAGGCAATTCCCACCTGCAACTCACCCCCAGCTCCAGCAACCACTAATCTGATTTCTCTAACTCACAGTATACACTCTTCTATCACTCAGCATAATGCTTTGGAGAGTCATTCATATTTGTTGCATGTATTGATAGTTTGTTCCTTTTGTTATTTCTTTTTTTAATTGTACATGTTTATGGGGTGCAACATGTTATTTCGATGCATGTATATATTCTGGTGGTTTGTTCCTTTTATTGGAGGGTTTTGAGCAAGGCATGATACCATTTCAAAGGCATCTCATAGCAGATGTGATCATTCTGCTGTGTAAGCCCCCAGTTCTTTGATAGATGCCAAGAAAACTCAAATGCTCAACATTCATGCCCAGCAAGGCAGAGCCAGCACAGAGGCAAGACATATGGGCAGCACAGGGCCCTGAGAGTTTAAGCCTTGGGAATTAACAATTAACAGGATTCCTGGGAGTGGGCAAAGGTGTGGGAGAAATGGGAGGTGGGAGATATCCCTTGGGATTTCTTCAGGCTGTGCAAGCAGAATTTAAATCAATCAATCCTACCCTGACCTCAGGGCAGGAGACGTCTCACTGACTTCAGTTACAATCTTGATCATTAATTTCATCCTGCTCTTGACACCCCAATACCCTCCCTTCATTCCATTTTGCAATAAAGAACATTTGGCTCTGAATTATTCAGGTAAATTCCCCCGATTTCTATTTTCCTTATGTAAATGGTCTCCAAGCTTTGTCATCGAGATAGAATTG